GAGCTCGAACGTGAGCACTCGTTAATGGGACAGTGGATCTTCGTTAACAGGAAGAACGTACGGCTGTTTCGATTCCAGCTCCGAACTCAGATATTCCCGGAGCTCCATGCGACTGGTGAGTAACGAACCTGCTATCTTCAACAGTCTTCATCTTGTCAACTTCTTTACAACTCCTTTTTCAAGATCTTTTAATGATAAGTAATTAGACATCACAATTATATGATCTCAGCAACGGAACCTTAGCGCATCGGTTTCTGGTAGACGGGATAATGCAAGCGGTTTAAAAGTAACCTTTCTACCTTGGCTAGCCGATTAATAATGTGGCTTGTCTGATTTTTCGCCTATATTTTATTCTTTAAAAAAAATCCGTAAATGTTGCACGGTGAAATTCACTAGAGCACGCGGCTCACCACAGCAATCGCACGGCAAAGCGGCGTACGCGCCAGCCCCATACGGTAGTGAGCTTCGGCATTGAATTCACTGTCAATGCCTTATGATAAAACAGAGGAAGCAGTGACACGTTTGAGCGACACTCCCAGCAGAAGCCGTGTCGAAGAATCTATTTAGTGGGTAGGGTAAAGAAGCCCACAAGTATAATATCACAGATGTGCCATTGTCGCGGTTAGAAAGTGCGCGACAATGGCTCTGGGTCCTCACAAAATCACCTTTTGGGATCTAATCATGGCAATCGGACGAGCTACCTTGCGCAAACTTCACACGCAACGTTTATTATGGCTCTAATACGAGTATTTATTTGTTGGGCCACGGAGCAGGCAAGATCGCACAACTCGTCCGGCCCCGCCCTTCCTTTTTGAAGGAGTATTTTTGTTTGAGCTCCATCTACGTTCTCTTTCTTTTTTCATTTTTAGTCAATTCGGCATCCACAACTTCATTTCCAACCGCTGCGACCCCACAAATTCGATCTGGGGATGTTGCGTTGGAAATGAATGTTTTTACCGTGCCAGCTTCGTGTTGATGTGACAGAAATGGTAGTCAATTCATTACAGCACAACTTACATTGATAGCGGCTAAAACGGAACAAAGCCTGGACGGAGCAGTAATAGATCATTTTCTGTTTATATGGCACCATGCAGTTTGGTACTTTGAGGACAGATGGCTAAAAATTGTTCGCTCGTCGAGGAATTAATGGCTGCTAGAAGTTGTGGAATGACAGAGAAAAGCTAAGGAAGTCGGCCTCAAACCCGCAAAACAAGTGCTCCTTTGTTCCCCGTTGATCCCTGCGATAGGCCAGTCTCATCGCTACTGTAGCCATCAACGTCAACCCTTTGCTCTGCCTATCTGCTAAATTGACATGAGTTGATGGCGAGGGTCCAGTGTGGTTAACCAATCGGTGGGCGTGGACAGCCTCATGGGAAGCTCTCCGCCACGGGTAATAGACTCTGTTAGGCCGCTGCATGCATCCTTCGCAGCGGAACCGATCTCATCCTCTTCACTAGAGAAGCATCTTCCTCTGTATAACATGTATCTTTCCCCGTGTTCGACCTCCAACTTATCGTACCACCTGCGTTTAAGGGCATCATAAAAGAAAACCTGCAGATAGTGGCTCTTGGAAGGGAAAGCCAGCTTTAAAATAAATAAAAGCTACTGCAGTAGGTAAAGCAGTATTTTGTTGACGCGTAATGACAGCAGCGCTGAATATTTCGCGACCTTTTACCGCACCTCAGTGTGACGTCACCGCCATGTACCGCGTGCGTGCCGCTCTCTTCCCTCACCCTCCTTAACGGCAAATTTCACAGCGACCTTTCGAAATATAGTATGATAGTAGTGTTCTAGGTCCCTAAATCTCCAACCTCAGATCAGGCACCTTCATCTCTATACCTATTCCGAATTGTAAAGTTTCTTCATTGCTTCTAGTTATAAGAATTTCAGGATTCCTCCTCCTGGTGTAGAAGAGCACGTGCCGGTGTTGTTTTTGGATTTGAATTCGGATGACATGACGGGAGAGATGACAAGTGATGAGGTAAAAGATGTTAGATAACCATTTACAAATTGGCGTGAGGGTAAAAATGGAGTTGGAGGGGGCTACTCCACTGTGTTCGGCATCTCTAGTGTTAAGTTTATCTCTGGCGCTAAGGATGAAAATCTGATAACACGTTCATTGAAGTGTTTTTGATAAGGACCGGTGAAGTGTCCCAATTTAACACGTTGACGACAGCGTGACGCGGTAACGCGTCCCACTTTGCGCACCTCGTGGGACATTGTGACGCGGTAACGCGTCCCACCCAAGTCATCCCTTTTTCTTGCGCTTGCGCGACTTATTCCTAAGGTCTTTGTACTCATTCTATAGGCCATACATTAGCATACTTAAAACCACATGGCTCACAGAAAGGCCAAATATTCTTTAGTTTGGCAGAGGTTTTCCAGACCTTACGGATATGTCTGTTCAGTTCATTCCTCGTTTTCTTTTCATTAACGTAAACATGTTGATAAAAAGGAATAATAGAAGCGAATACAAACCTATTCGTATGGGAAGATATGTGTTTTTACTGAAACAACCACGTCCAAATTAATTTTGGAACCACTAAAGGGAAATAAGTAAAATTTGCCTTTTCATGGCCTTAACACGTCATTTCGGTCGAACTTCCATTACTGTAACTCCCGATAAGTTAGACAGATCGAACATTATTGAAAACACTTCATCGCATCTAAGTATTGCGTATTTACAGCTCAAAATCCATGGATTTGGTGTGCGGCGGCGGCGCTCGCAAAATCGCTCTTGGTCCCACGCGGTGCAAAAACACAAAACGCGCGATGTCGTCAACGTGTTAACTCCTTCTATCCAATTCTTTGTGGTTAGTGGTCCATCCACTTGTGAACTCTCTCTTTGCTCCATCCCCCTCTTCCTTCGGCCTAGGCAAGGATATCCGTCTCTTCGCTCCGCATCGCTTTCCTCTCCGTCCGAGGCTGATCAGCCGGTTTTATCAAGTATTTGCTTCGAATGAGTGTTTAATATACTACCATGCATAGTGTTTATCGTATCTTCATCCTTAGCGTCAGAGAAGCAGAGCATAATGAGTGCCCTCTCCGACTCCATTTTCATCTAGCGTGAGTTCTCTACAGAGGTGCTCACGAACAGTGGCGCTGCGCGGGTTAGTGAAGCCGATGTCAGAGTCTGCGATTGGAGCGATCGGTCAAATGCCAATCGCGCGACCATCGCGCGATTCGCGCGACGATCGCGCGATTGACATGACTCCCATCATGACCAATCGCTCCAATCGCGCGATGGGCGCGATCACTCCCGTTGTGGCAGGGAGCGCAGCTCCGCAGTCAACGTATCGATCGAGGGGGGGCGCGCCAGCTATTGATCGCTCCCTGCCACAACGGGAGTGATCGCGCCCATCGCGCGATTGGAGCGATTTGGTCATGATGGGAGTAATGTGAATCGCGCGACTGACGGTCGCGCGATTCACATTACTCCCATCCGCGATGGTAAATCGAGCGCCACACATCGCCAGATGGTATCGCGATGGTCGCGCGATTCGCATTTGACCGAATCGCTCTCCAATCGCAGAGTCTGACATCGGCCAGCGATGCACAACGATTAGCCCATTCGCGACCGCGCGCTTTTTTTGAAGACCACCCGTTTGGACCAATGCGGTGTAAGGCGACTGCGCAGATGCCGGTGGCTGACATTGCTCGCCATCCATTTCTGGATCGAAACCGGGAATGGGACCATATTGAAATAGTAAACTGATTCCGCTGAAACTTTTCTTGAGAGGGTTGATGATTAACCTGATCACGGGAATGGACACGCATTTTTTTGCGTGGACGCCAAATTGCATCAACATGGCGCAACCTAACCAGAATCAATGAAAACTTTCCATACAGAGGGTATTCGACATTGTCAGAAGTTATGTCTCAATCCTGATCACGATACCGAAAAATTCCTATGTGCAAGTTTTTAACGAATTAGGTAAAAATGAGGATGCGTCATGATGATGCAAATTGGCACCAATTTGGAGCCACCACCAAAAATAAGCGTCATCTTCGCTGCATATTCAGAGCTAATGTCTCTAGAAACTATCCAGCAGTGAATCGATTCAAGAAATTATATAAGGGCTTTGAGCTGGAGCAGCGACGACGGCAGTGACATCACATTCTGAAGACGGTGAGAGGCAGTGAAGTAGGGCTTGCGTATACTTGTAGAGGAGCATTTTCAGAATAATTTGCCTAAAAATTTGGGTTAATGGCGACAGTCTTTGCAACGTAAAAATTGCTGGAGTACTGCATGGGCTGTTTTTGTTGGCATGTTTCTAGGCGCTCAAATTTCGAATAGGTTACTTGAAATCTCTTGGTAAACAAGGAATCACGCCTGGTGAACGAAAGATCCTCTGTTAGAGATATAGATTCTTTCTTTGAAAGGTAGACTTTGAGAAAGGGAAGACTGCCTCACAAAGTTCCGTTTCAAAGCACGTCAAGTCGGCGGAGCTGAAATTATCGTTGAATATGATTCTGATCAGTCATGAATTTCTGAACTGTTCCAAGGATGCGCATTGGACTTTGTAATTCACTGGTTTTTGTCTCACACCTAACTGAGATCTTCTACTTGTGTTTTAGAACCAGAATTTGCCCACATTGTGAACTGCAGGTTGGTTTAGATGATGTGAGCAAGCGTTTTGTGGTAGCTCACGCAGCCGGGCTGGGGGTGTCAGCCGAAAGTAAGTATAAATTAAATAAATAAATAAATCACATCTGGATGCCGGCCACAGGTGGTTGAAATTGTCTCGAAAGGGTTAATCAATCACGGCGTCTCCCTTCGCTTTTTGGTGGGATAGAAACGGTTTGCCACCGTTTCACTTCCCAATGGATTTTTTGTTAAATGAGCGAAATCACGAACAGCACGACGTAATTGTGCCAGTCTATAAGAGGTTAGTTATTCTATGTGATATCAAAAATCTGCATAGGATTACGGCGAACGGTTGGTAGGCGAATTGTTAGCTGGCAGCCCATGTGGGCTGCCATTGGCGTGAATGTGTCAACCAGCTCAACAGCACGCATCCTCACTTGGCTAGTGTGGCCTTGAACAAGTGGTGCATTTGTTTCGTTTCAGAACACTCCTCGCATTGCGGGTTTGCATTCATTTTTGCCGAAAGAGGAAAGTGGAGGTCCTTTGATCATGCTCCCAATTGTGCACTTCGATGACAAGGAGGTAACAAAACAAATCTAACGAGTTCGTTTTTTATTTTAATCTCCATGATGCTCTATCCAGTTGATTGCAACCTGCTCCTGGGACAGTTCAATACACGATCATCCGGCGCTGAACGTTCCTTCGTCTTCTAACGAGAAAGTCTATGCCATAGTTAAGGTCAGTTTTAGGTTTATCTTCGAAGGTATCCCTTACTAATACCTTATGAATTAGAGCTAAATAAAAGTTGATTAGGTCGGTGTACGTCTCTCACATCCGTGTTCCATGGAATTAGTTCTTCGCAAACGGGTTTGTCTCAATATTTACAAGAAGGCTAGTCTTACGGATCGTATTCGGAAACGAATCGTTGGATCAGAGACACTACATCGTACTGCTGTGTATTATGACGTCGTTGCACATCTGCCCAAGGTAAGTAAAACATTGCTACACTACAGTCGAGTTTCAGAGGTTGCGGGAAGTGTTTGTGATGAGCGAAAATCATCAGTGTTTGTGCAGGAGAGGGTATGCTGCGTCCTGAAAGAACGTGATGTCGCGCTTCTATTGAAGGCACGCTCCAAGATTAGGCGCGCTCGCCTGTTCCATCCCGGGGTAGTAGGCACAAGCGTTGATGTCGCGCCCCTTTTGCCGCTTGAAAGTGCGCGACAAAGGCGCAAGGAGCTCGTCCGACCCGCAACTCACACCTTCGTCCGCAAGCCCCACCCTCCGCTGTCGGTTGCCACGTGGCGCTGCTTGAAAAAAGCTACGCAATCGCTAAACCGCTCAGTGGAACTTCAGGCGAGTGCCTCAGTAGTGCGTTTGTGCGCGCGGTCGCGCTGGAGATACTGTTGTTTCCACATCATAATCCCACAGCAAAAGGGTTCAACTGCAAGAGGCGTGATCTTGCGTCCCGGAGCGCCCTACAGGAGGCCCGTCACCCAGCGGAGAGCGCCGCACACTGGTTAGCTGACGAGTCGCAACGCGTACTGTAGCGATTTAGCCTCAACTTAAGAAGGATGTGCTATAGTACGTCCCACTCAGTACGCGCTGCAAGTCGTTTACGTCTCTGCCTTCTCGCCGCGCGACGGGCCTCATGTCGGGCATCCTGCGTCCTATCATGGCACATTCTACAGGGGATGTGGATTGGTCGCACGTGTTCGCGTCTGTGAAATTGTAAAATAGGTCGACCTCTATCAGGTGTATATCACAAAGTTACAATTTGGTTCAGCCGCATCCATATTC